AGCAAGGCAGTCTCGGTTGAATGTCCACTTCTGAAACCAGACTGGTTGCTGTCAAGGAGGTTGTTCTGTGTGAGAAGGGCTGAGACTTGGTTGAACACAACTCATTCAAGTGTTTTTGCAATGAAAGGTAGAAGGGAACCGGTGTCTGTAGTTCTCTAAAAAAGATGGGTTAAGGGTGGGTTTCTTAAGTAGTGGGGTTATACGAGCCTGTCTACATATTTAGGGACAAACACCAGTGTGAAGGGATGTGTTAATGATGTGAGTGAGTGCAGGTACAACTACATGAGAAATGGCTTGAAGGAGATGAGATGGAATAGGATCAAGCGGACAAGTAGTAGAATGATTAGAAAGGATGAGTTTGGAGACTTCTGCCTCAGCGAGTGAAGAGAAGGATGTGAATGAGTGTATGTTTGCTGGTAAGATGTGCTTGACATATTGTGGTGTGGAAAATTGTGCACCGATGTTTTTAATTTTATTAATGAAAAATGTGGCAAAGTCTTCAGCTATTAGGGTTGATGCAAGAGGGGGAGGAGGAGGACAAAGGAGCGAGGAAAATGTTTTAAAGAGCATGCGAGAGTTAGATGAATAGTTAATTTTGTTTTGGTAGTATGTCATTTAAGCAGTGGAGACATTAGCAGAGAAGGAAGAGAGGAGTGACTGATACACATTAAGGTCAGTAGGATTTTTGGATTTACGCCACACCCTTTCAGCAGCCCTGAGCTTAGAACGATGTTCGCGGAGAACATCAGATAACCAAGGGGCAGAAGGGGTGGTACGGGCTGGTCTGGAAGACAAGGAGCAGACAGTGTCTAAACAAGATGTAAGAGTGGAGCAGAAAGTATCAGTAGCACTGTTAGCATCACAAGATGCTAACAGTTTAGGGGAAGGAAGCGAAGATGAAACCAAAAGCAGATAACCGGGAGGGTGAGAGTGAGCGTAGGTTACGTAGAAAGATGACATGTGGAGGGGTATGTGTTGTGTCAGGAACCATGTTGAGGTTAAGAGTGAGGGGGATGTGATCCGAGGTGTGCAGTGGAGTAACCAGTACATGATAAGTGGAGCAGTGTCGTGTGTAAATAAGGTCCAGTTGGTTGCCTGATTTGTGAGTAGCAGTAGTTGACACTCGGTTGAGATCAAAAGAAGCAAGCAGAGTGTGGAAGTCTGCAGCCTGAGGTTTATCTAGGTGGATGTTGAAGTCTCCAAGCATAACTAGGGGAGTACCATCCTAAGGAAAGGTCGAGAGCAGCACATCTAATTCATCCAAGAAGTTACCTAGTGGTCCTGGGGGTCGATAAACAACTACAAAATTGATTTTAAGAGGGTAGGTAATAGTAACTGAATCAGATTCAAAGGAGCTGTTGATACCCAAAGATGGTAAAGGATTACATTTCCAATCATTAGAGATAAGCAGACCAATACCTCCACCACTTCCAGTCAAACGGGGGGAGTGGGAAAAAGAGAAATTATTGGAGAGTGCTGCAGGTGTAGCAGTGTCCTCTGGTTTGATCCAGGTCTCTGTCAGGGCCATGAGGTTTAGCTTTGAGTGACTAATAATAGAAGTAATGAAATCAGCTTTGTTTACAGCAGACTGGCAATTCCAGAGACCAATAGAAAAAGAAATTAGTGTATTAGCAGACATAGGCAAAGTGTGCAGGTTGTTAGGATTGCGCTGCCTACAGTGTGTGAAACATGGTTTGCGAGTGGTAGTTATAGTAGGGATCTGGAAACACATACTAAGAATGTGTTGTATATATATATGTATATATATATATATTTATTTTTTTTGTCATGATATGTTGAAATGTTAGTTAAATAAATAAGTACCGTAAGTGAGTCTACATAATTACTATCAAGAGACTGCGATTGTATATCAATATATCAATTGTGATGGATATATTGGCGGAAAGTTAGCTGCAGCTGTTAACAGCTTGACATGATGTGTTATGAAAGGTACTGTATTCTCTCATTCTGCGTGTGAGAACAGGCATTGATGCTGTGTACTTTTTCCCTGCAGGTGCCTCAGGATGAGTGGGGGGGTTATCCAGGGATTGAGAAGGAGGAGGAGATCCCATGTCGTCGGATGCGTAGCAGTAGTTACGTCAAAGCCATGGGAGATGATGATAGTGGTGAGTCTGATACCAGCCCCACGACGTCACCTCAGAAGACTGTGCGGTCCGATGCCCTTGTCCTCAAATCAGCCATGCAGAGGCCACATATAGACACCCAAAGGTAAGTCTGAATAGATCTTCATTGTTCTCATTTTTAACGCTGAGTTGCCCATGACTGTCTGTCCGTTGTTTATCCTCCTGCCTTATCAAAATGTTTCTTCTCAATTTAAAAGTTTGAGCAGTTTCCAGGGTGTTTGCCAAAACGCTCTTTAGAATCAGCTGGTTTTCTCTAGTTTTGAAGTGTAGATTCTGTGGTGTTTGAGTGGCTTAGTACTTCACAGCATCGCAGAGGACAATATTAATGTTGAGAGAAATTGTGTACTATATGATCTTTTAATAGTCTTATTATCTTGAATGCTTTAGACCATATTCAGTGCATGAGGCCTGGCCACAGGCGTGTAAAAATGTATTGTAGGGGTGTAAACAGTCAGTGTAAAAGAGAAATGATAGTTTATAGTTGAACTCACCCTTGTGTCTTCCCAAACCTCTATGACTTTCTTTCACAAAACAAGATATTAAAAAAAAAAAAAATTAGATTTTTTGTCCATGCAGTTAAATTCAATGTGGTCCAGTCAGTGTTGTATTATACTCCATTAACTTCCATTGTATGAACATACATTTTGCTACAAAATAACTTATTTTGTGTTTTATAGAAGAATACATTTTGTACAGGTTTGGGTGGATTCTGAGGTTTGGGTTTTTTCCTGATAAAGAAAAAAAAATCTGAAGTTCTTAAATTCTATGTTTAACTGAAAGTGGCTAGTGCTGTTACTAAATCTATTTAAAACAATTCCTATTTATCAAACAATTCTTAAAATACTGTATATTACGGTTTATAGTATACAGCCATATTACACAGTATATATTCATCTTTTCACTCTTACTCTATATACATATGGAAATGTATCTGAGTAGAGTAAAAAGATTAAATTTCAATAGGACTTGAGTAAAGTGCAAATGATAGAAAAATTGTAGCATAATAAAATAGAGTAACTGAAGTACTTTACATCCCTGCATGGCCCCACAAGGGAAAGTTCAAACATAGGATTGGAGGAGGAGGACAAAGGAGCGAGGAAAATGTTTTAAAGAGCATGCGAGAGTTAGATGAATAGTTAATTTTGTTTTGGTAGTATGTCATTTAAGCAGTGGAGACATTAGCAGAGAAGGAAGAGAGGAGTGACTGATACACATTAAGGTCAGTAGGATTTTTGGATTTACGCCACACCCTTTCAGCAGCCCTGAGCTTAGAACGATGTTCGCGGAGAACATCAGATAACCAAGGGGCAGAAGGGGTGGTACGGGCTGGTCTGGAAGACAAGGAGCAGACAGTGTCTAAACAAGATGTAAGAGTGGAGCAGAAAGTATCAGTAGCACTGTTAGCATCACAAGATGCTAACAGTTTAGGGGAAGGAAGCGAAGATGAAACCAAAAGCAGATAACCGGGAGGGTGAGAGTGAGCGTAGGTTACGTAGAAAGATGACATGTGGAGGGGTATGTGTTGTGTCAGGAACCATGTTGAGGTTAAGAGTGAGGGGGATGTGATCCGAGGTGTGCAGTGGAGTAACCAGTACATGATAAGTGGAGCAGTGTCGTGTGTAAATAAGGTCCAGTTGGTTGCCTGATTTGTGAGTAGCAGTAGTTGACACTCGGTTGAGATCAAAAGAAGCAAGCAGAGTGTGGAAGTCTGCAGCCTGAGGTTTATCTAGGTGGATGTTGAAGTCTCCAAGCATAACTAGGGGAGTACCATCCTAAGGAAAGGTCGAGAGCAGCACATCTAATTCATCCAAGAAGTTACCTAGTGGTCCTGGGGGTCGATAAACAACTACAAAATTGATTTTAAGAGGGTAGGTAATAGTAACTGAATCAGATTCAAAGGAGCTGTTGATACCCAAAGATGGTAAAGGATTACATTTCCAATCATTAGAGATAAGCAGACCAATACCTCCACCACTTCCAGTCAAACGGGGGGAGTGGGAAAAAGAGAAATTATTGGAGAGTGCTGCAGGTGTAGCAGTGTCCTCTGGTTTGATCCAGGTCTCTGTCAGGGCCATGAGGTTTAGCTTTGAGTGACTAATAATAGAAGTAATGAAATCAGCTTTGTTTACAGCAGACTGGCAATTCCAGAGACCAATAGAAAAAGAAATTAGTGTATTAGCAGACATAGGCAAAGTGTGCAGGTTGTTAGGATTGCGCTGCCTACAGTGTGTGAAACATGGTTTGCGAGTGGTAGTTATAGTAGGGATCTGGAAACACATACTAAGAATGTGTTGTATATATATATGTATATATATATATATATATATTTTTTTTGTCATGATATGTTGAAATGTTAGTTAAATAAATAAGTACCGTAAGTGAGTCTACATAATTACTATCAAGAGACTGCGATTGTATATCAATATATCAATTGTGATGGATATATTGGCGGAAAGTTAGCTGCAGCTGTTAACAGCTTGACATGATGTGTTATGAAAGGTACTGTATTCTCTCATTCTGCGTGTGAGAACAGGCATTGATGCTGTGTACTTTTTCCCTGCAGGTGCCTCAGGATGAGTGGGGGGGTTATCCAGGGATTGAGAAGGAGGAGGAGATCCCATGTCGTCGGATGCGTAGCAGTAGTTACGTCAAAGCCATGGGAGATGATGATAGTGGTGAGTCTGATACCAGCCCCACGACGTCACCTCAGAAGACTGTGCGGTCCGATGCCCTTGTCCTCAAATCAGCCATGCAGAGGCCACATATAGACACCCAAAGGTAAGTCTGAATAGATCTTCATTGTTCTCATTTTTAACGCTGAGTTGCCCATGACTGTCTGTCCGTTGTTTATCCTCCTGCCTTATCAAAATGTTTCTTCTCAATTTAAAAGTTTGAGCAGTTTCCAGGGTGTTTGCCAAAACGCTCTTTAGAATCAGCTGGTTTTCTCTAGTTTTGAAGTGTAGATTCTGTGGTGTTTGAGTGGCTTAGTACTTCACAGCATCGCAGAGGACAATATTAATGTTGAGAGAAATTGTGTACTATATGATCTTTTAATAGTCTTATTATCTTGAATGCTTTAGACCATATTCAGTGCATGAGGCCTGGCCACAGGCGTGTAAAAATGTATTGTAGGGGTGTAAACAGTCAGTGTAAAAGAGAAATGATAGTTTATAGTTGAACTCACCCTTGTGTCTTCCAAAACCTCTATGACTTTCTTTCACAAAACAAGATATTAAAAAAAAAAAAAATTAGATTTTTTGTCCATGCAGTTAAATTCAATGTGGTCCAGTCAGTGTTGTATTATACTCCATTAACTTCCATTGTATGAACATACATTTTGCTACAAAATAACTTATTTTGTGTTTTATAGAAGAATACATTTTGTACAGGTTTGGGTGGATTCTGAGGTTTGGGTTTTTTCCTGATAAAGAAAAAAAAATCTGAAGTTCTTAAATTCTATGTTTAACTGAAAGTGGCTAGTGCTGTTACTAAATCTATTTAAAACAATTCCTATTTATCAAACAATTCTTAAAATACTGTATATTACGGTTTATAGTATACAGCCATATTACACAGTATATATTCATCTTTTCACTCTTACTCTATATACATATGGAAATGTATCTGAGTAGAGTAAAAAGATTAAATTTCAATAGGACTTGAGTAAAGTGCAAATGATAGAAAAATTGTAGCATAATAAAATAGAGTAACTGAAGTACTTTACATCCCTGCATGGCCCCACAAGGGAAAGTTCAAACATAGGATTGTTTGTGGTTTGGAATACGATGTGAAATAATTAGTGATCAGATTGTTTTTTTTAACAACTAGTTGAATCCTGTGCTTTATTGCACATCATACCTTCATACACTTTTGCTTCTTTTAACAGCTGATTACTGTGTTGTCATCAGCATATTTGGGTGTGGCTTCAACTGCTGGCACTTATGGCCCTGGAAACACACTTGTCACACTTTCACTGAATTATTTAATTTCTGAAAGGCATATACAAGATTGACATCCAAAATGTATATACAGGACATGCATTACAGCAGAATAGTAAATACTTTTCACACAATATTTCATTCTTATATTTTTATGTCATAGTTATTATTTATTTTTATATGATGGAATTTCTATCATTACAAATATTTAATATATTTTTTAAGATCATTGCAGAACAGTCAAATGTATTTTTTTTATTTTTTTTTTTTTCAAAGGACCTAAGAAAATATGCAGTGATACTGAGGTGGAAGTGAAGCAAAACAACATCTTGTCCAGGTTTTCCAAAGAGCTTCATAGACAATGAAGTCTGTCTGCTGTTCAAATATACACCAGTCGACAAAAGAGACAGTGATCAACCTTAATTGAGGAAACTTCTGAAGCTACAAGCTACTCATAATTTAGATACAGTTAAGCTACAGGTATACAAGTAGTTAAAACACTGAAAACACTTATACTATCACTAAAACTCTGCACTAATGCACTAAAAGCAAAAAATACACTAACAACTCGGACAACTTTATCTTTAACTCAATATCTTAGTTCTAACTAACCCAACATCTCAATAAAATTCTTAATTAAATGTAATCAGAATGTTTTCAAAATGTCATCTGACACGATTCTGGGCACTTTTAAACTAAAGAAAGTGACAGTACTTACTCAGACAATCACAGTATTCATGGACAACAGCATTTTTTGAGAATCAAAAGAGAAAAAAACGAAAAAGCCATGACTCCTGACGACAGCAGTGATGTGGATGTTGGGTTTGTAGATTTCGACCCCATACAGATGTGTTCCAGGAGCTGGAGAGTTGCTGAGATCATAATTTATCACCATGGTGCCCTTCATGAAAAACACTTAACCCACTTTTCCCCAGAGACTGTGCCTATAAAAAGTGCACTATGAGATGTTATGGGCAATAGACGCCACTAAATAACAATAGGGACACTTAATTAAGACATCTCAGGGTTTAACTATCATTGACTCATGTCTTATAATGCAATTGCTGGTATGAAATTATCTGTAGTCTGCAGAAGAATATTGGATTTTGATGCTAGGAGCGTCTCGGAAATCTCAATCACATTAAATAACCCTGGCAATATGTTAAAGGATTTGATATTGCTTGACATGGGCTCATAAAATAGTAAAACTCTGAAATGCACAGAGTAAGTAGTATAGTCATTTTAAATAAGTAATTTTCATCTAGAAAAATGTATTGGCAATTGACTACTTCTTTGAGTAACTTTCCCAATGCTAGCCAACAGTGCGAAGTTGAGGATTTTGTTGAGACATTGTCCAGACAGTCATTTTTATATGCTGTCAAACTGATGATAAGAAGGGCATCTGTTTGGGTGCCGGGGCGACGTCACTGAAAATGGAAAACAACATGAGGCACAAGGTGTCTAGTTTGCTCCAGAGACACTATCACACTCTGTATTTCCCAAAATAGTTGTTCTGTGTGTCAATTCGGTGCCTACAAATCCTGCACACTCAGAAACTTGTAAGCTGGGTTCATACAGCTGCTGATGACACAGTAAAATACGTTCATTGTCAGATTTGTGTTCTGAGTGAGCACTTCTTAGCAAGTGACTTGCCCACAATTCTGTGCTGTATCATTTTGAACTTAAATTTATGCTGACTAATGTTTGATTGGATAAACTTAGAGTAAACTAATCTTTAATGTTTGGTGGTTTAAAATAGGTTGTTTTAAATAAATATTTAACCCCAAAATTAATAGTTCACTCTTTTTTTCTTTCTCATGTTGTTTTAAGTTTTAAAGAAATTGTTGTCCTATATTATGAAAGCAAGTGGGAAATGACAAAACGACTCAAATGTTGGGATAATTTGATATCCTTGATATTCATTAGGGGAGGTAATTTAATTACGATATATAATGTTTTAGTTAAGTGCCATTTTTATGTAATTATAATATATAGTGTTTTAGTTAAGTGTAATTTAGCAGATGTTTTGCATCCATAGTACTTCTGTTGATGAATGACAGTCCTAGAAAAACCTGGTATCTTGCTCAAGGGCAACAGGAAAAGGGGATCTCAGTGACTTTCCAGTTCACAAGCTGCACTTACCCTAGGATTACCCATTGATATAGAATCTGTCGGTCTGTCAGCCATAGCTCCTCATTTTATCATTTAGGTGTATGAAAGTAATGCACCAACATTGTTACATTCTCTTTTTCAGTACGTTCAGTCTAATTAATCAGCTAACAACTAGGGAATTAATGTCTGTTATTACAGATAATTACAGACTTAAATCACAGCTTCTGTTTTATTACATACTCACGCCATACCATGATCTCCATTCCTTTCAATACACATTATTAAAATAGGGCATACACCCACACAGTTTCATTGACTACATTTTTTTTTTTATATATATATAATTTCTGAGGCCTTTGCCTACATTGATTAAAGAATAGGGGGCTCACAGGCATACATTCACTAGCAGGATGTTTTATAAAAATTTAAATGAGAGGTACAAAGTCTTGGCTGGTGTGAGTGTGGATACAAAATAGGGTGGACAGAGTTTGAGTTTGACTCCGTCTTTTAGATTGTTTACATTTTAATGGTGAATAATGTTCTGAATGCCTTAATTTGCATTGGCTATTTGTTAACAATTTAAAAGTTGATTTTCCTGAAAAGTTTGTTTGCGTATCCCAGACAGCCAGGCACATCAACTCTGGCTCAATCAGTAGTGTTTGTTTGGGAATTGTTTGTCCAACCAATGGCAGACAGAAGAAAACCTGTTTGAAAACAGTCATTATTTTTATAGTTATGTTTGTTGATTCTAGTGTCGCAGAAATTACACACCTCACTTTTCAGGATAAAGAATCAGATCAATAACTTTCTTTTCATGTTTATACGAAAGTAGTAATTCACACATTAGCTGCTGATGAAAGAGCTGAGGAAGAAGGGAATGCTGTCAATGTTTGAGATCTATCGGCAGTGAGGAAGTGTTAGAGGCTTCAAAATTGTCAACTGATTTGTCTTTCGCTCTCTCCACACTTTCTCTCCTGTCCATATGGTTGCCTGGTGTTTTCTGCTGACAGATAGTTGCTGTCTATGGTTTTGGACTGAGTTATGCCATCATACCATATGGGTTAGGCCATCATACCTTATAAATTCCAAGTACTAACCAATTTGGAAAACTAGTAAACAATTGATTGACAATCATAGTGAGTTCATTTTGATGTGTCAACACTAATCCAAAACCATAATGTTTAATTTTTTTCTGGCACTTCTTGGAAAATTGTTTGCTTACTGCATCTTAATTTTGGTGTCTTACATTTGGGTTCATGACAGCAAAGCTGTTAACCAAGTCATTTATCTTAAATCATATCCTCAGAGTTTGCCAAAAGGTCACCATTGGTGGTTATTGCAGAGTTACCCTTCAGTTTAATTCGGAATAGGTTACTCTATGGCTATATTAGTTTTTGGTTGTTCCCTCCATTTAGCTCTGGCTACCACTTGCAAACAACGAGAGATATGCGCCCTCATCCCAGCGTGTCTCTGGACCCAGCAACCAACTTCAACCTCCCACAGTTTCGCTCCAGAAACCAGAGCTACATGCGTGCAGTCAGTACCTTCAGTCAGGCAAGCTGTGTCAGCCAGGTGAGTCCAACCACTCGCAACACCACACGGCACTAATACACAGGTACAAGCAAGGACTATCTACATACAGTAAGTGGTTTCAAGCAAAGGGCTTTAGCTGTCTGAGATGTCCTGCTTTTTTCTCAGATTGTGTCTTGAGCTGATGTGAAGATTAGACTTCTTGTAGACTTGATGCTACCTTAAGTCAAATGGTCTATGCTTCATTAAGGGGTTTCCACTTAAAACAAGCTTAAGGTGTTGACTGATCATTAGCTGATCCAAGTTTGTCCAAGTTGGTTTAGGTGTAACAGTTGAATACTTCTGGTGGGGTCTTGTACAACCTGGGTTATCTTTGTCAATCTGGTTGGAGTTGATGGATGACCTTGGCTGAACTAGTGGGGAATAGGTTGGTCTGATTATCTGTGTTCCAAAACCTAGTTTGATGTAGGTGGTTGGCCAGTGTAACTACCAGCTGGTCAGAGAGAAAACAAGTAGTTAATCTTGGTCCAACTGATTAGAGTTGGTAGACAACTTTGCTAAAGCGGTGGAGATATTAATCTGATTAACTACATTCCAAACATCAGTTTGATTTGGGTGGCTAACCAGCAGAACTACCAGCAGGTTGGACCAAGGACAACTTGGGAGGTCATCTTGGTCAGCTTGAGTAGGACTGGTAGACCCCCTTGGCTAAACAAGTGGGAAATATGTTGAGTTGATTAATATCTCAGGTTATGCATGTAACCATGGTTCCCTGAGAGAAGAACAAGACACTGCATCCTCTAGCAGTCACTATGTGGAACACCTTCAGCATGGCCTGTGTCTGTAGCACATGTCTGAACATGACAATAACATTGGCCAGTGACAACCTATGATGTCACTACCAGTGTGACAATAGTATAAAAGGGCGCCAGGGGAATACATCATCAACTTCTTCGTCTGCAATAATGAAGCATTCGTCCTGAGGCATGGCAAGAAAAGAGGATGCAGTGTCTCATTCCCCTCTCAGGGAGCCATGGTTACATACGTAACCTGATATGTTCCCTTTTGAGGGAACACTAACTGCGTCCTGTAGCAGTTGCTATGAGGAATGGAATACCCACGCTGCCATGCTGAGGGAAGTGCATGCCATATTCTCTGAGGCGAGCACTAAGCATCAACTCCACAGTGAAAAACCATCTGTGTCACCCGTTGGACGCATCAGCGGTTGTCAGTGACACTATCCCCTTTGGCCAAAGCTACATACCCAAAATAACTTAACTGTTAAGGGCTGACAAGGAAGTCTGGTCCCAGGGCAGAGCTCAAAGGCTTTGAATCAGATAACAATGTGATTAATTTAAGGGGATATGGCTGGGTGTCTAGGTATCACCATATTACCAGACCCTGGCCTTTCACTTAGGGGGACTTCATACATCTACCCCCAATTCTCCCAGGGGGGCTACAGGATAGCCAACAACCTGTCCAGTGCAAATGGAATTGCAAGGAACCGGCAATATACACCTTCACTGTACCTGAGACAGAGACTTCCTATAGGATCTCTCTCTCCAGATATGCTGGTGGGCATATACCCCCACAGCCCAGTCAGATTGGAGACATTGTTAAGGTATCAGTAAAGATGCATATGTAGAGTGGGACCCAAGGTAAGAAAGGGTATAATGCCGGCAGTGCGTGACTCTTACCATAAATGGATTTTAGAAAGGACACAGGATGCTCAGCGAGTGCGCTTACCATAAACATGGATTTTAGAAAGCACTCAGTGCCGTTATAAAGGCCATGAAGAGGCCTAGCAACCTGGTATGACTGCATCATGGAGATCTAGGGAGTGGAGTACTCGACTCTAAGTAAGAGGACTCACATACTCGACCTCGCACATAACACGACTCATGAGAGTAACATGCTCAAGGAGACCCATCAAGAGTCCATCAGGAGGGCCGAAAGAATGGCCTAACAACCTGATATGTTTGCTTCACAGGCCTAAAGGAGCAGAGCACTCAACTCTCAGAGTGTCTTGGTCCAACTGATTAGAGTTGGTAGACAACTTTGCTAAAGCGGTGGAGATATTAATCTGATTAACTACATTCCAAACATCAGTTTGATTTGGGTGGCTAACCAGCAGAACTACCAGCAGGTTGGACCAAGGACAACTTGGGAGGTCATCTTGGTCAGCTTGAGTAGGACTGGTAGACCCCCTTGGCTAAACAAGTGGGAAATATGTTGAGTTGATTAATATCTCAGGTTATGCATGTAACCATGGTTCCCTGAGAGAAGAACAAGACACTGCATCCTCTAGCAGTCACTATGTGGAACACCTTCAGCATGGCCTGTGTCTGTAGCACATGTCTGAACATGACAATAACATTGGCCAGTGACAACCTATGATGTCACTACCAGTGTGACAATAGTATAAAAGGGCGCCAGGGGAATACATCATCAACTTCTTCGTCTGCAATAATGAAGCATTCGTCCTGAGGCATGGCAAGAAAAGAGGATGCAGTGTCTCATTCCCCTCTCAGGGAGCCATGGTTACATACGTAACCTGATATGTTCCCTTTTGAGGGAACACTAACTGCGTCCTGTAGCAGTTGCTATGAGGAATGGAATACCCACGCTGCCATGCTGAGGGAAGTGCATGCCATATTCTCTGAGGCGAGCACTAAGCATCAACTCCACAGTGAAAAACCATCTGTGTCACCCGTTGGACGCATCAGCGGTTGTCAGTGACACTATCCCCTTTGGCCAAAGCTACATACCCAAAATAACTTAACTGTTAAGGGCTGACAAGGAAGTCTGGTCCCAGGGCAGAGCTCAAAGGCTTTGAATCAGATAACAATGTGATTAATTTAAGGGGATATGGCTGGGTGTCTAGGTATCACCATATTACCAGACCCTGGCCTTTCACTTAGGGGGACTTCATACATCTACCCCCAATTCTCCCAGGGGGGCTACAGGATAGCCAACAACCTGTCCAGTGCAAATGGAATTGCAAGGAACCGGCAATATACACCTTCACTGTACCTGAGACAGAGACTTCCTATAGGATCTCTCTCTCCAGATATGCTGGTGGGCATATACCCCCACAGCCCAGTCAGATTGGAGACATTGTTAAGGTATCAGTAAAGATGCATATGTAGAGTGGGACCCAAGGTAAGAAAGGGTATAATGCCGGCAGTGCGTGACGCTTACCATAAATGGATTTTAGAAAGGACACAGGATGCTCAGCGAGTGCGCTTACCATAAACATGGATTTTAGAAAGCACTCAGTGCCGTTATAAAGGCCATGAAGAGGCCTAGCAACCTGGTATGACTGCATCATGGAGCTCTAGGGAGTGGAGTACTTGACTCTAAGTAAGAGGACTCACATACTCGACCTCGCACATAACACGACTCATGAGAGTAACATGCTCAAGGTGACCCATCAAGCCGTGAGGATGCACTGTTGCTCACAGTCCATCAGGAGGGCCGAAAGAATGGCCTAACAACCTGATATGTTTGCTTCACAGGCCTAAAGGAGCAGAGCACTCAACTCTCAGAGTGAAAGGAGAACACACATGCTCAGAAGGGCGCATAATGGGGCCCTGGGAGTGCATATTCATAGGAGACCCTCCAATTGAGGGGAGTTCTGCAAACTCAACCCTAAGGGCAGTCACATGGTGGGAACTCCAGGGAGCAGCGGTGAGGCGGTCATCAGGGAGGCCACACTGGAGGCCTTAATCCACCTGGTATGGTTTCCTCGTGGAGCTCCAGAGAGCTCCACCATAAGCTCAACCATGAGAGCAGCCTAACAGGGAGGCAAAAGATGACCTAACAACCTGTTGTGCTACCTGCAGAGCTCTGGGAGAGGAGTCCTTGGCTCTTAGATTGAGAAGAGAACTCACATGCTTGCTCTGGGAGCAGCGGGGTCAGATAACCCTCCCGCAGGGAGGGGAGCACTGCCAAGCTCAACCATAAGCAGTGGCTGTATACAGAGCCCTGAGAGCGGAGTACTCGATTTTCAAATCAACAAGTGAACTCACATGCTCAACCTGGGAGCAGCATGCTCATAGGCAACCCTAGGCAATTTCTGGAGACATGAATGATGGTAATAACACTTGGGATCACCTACAGTAGATCCAGTCCATCAGTATGCAGTTTTTATGTAAAAGGAACCAGCAAACACATAATCAGTGCAAGCACATGGAAGCACCTAACCTCAACAACATAATGTTACTGCATCACTGTACAATACCAGGGTTAGGGCACCAGATTCTGTGCCAGTGATGGACTCACAGGTGGCCCAGAAGCCCGAAGGAAGTACAGTCAAGCTCCTAGCCTCAAAAAGCAGGGTAGTGAAGTGACGTGTGGCCAAGTATGGTGACCCATACTCGAAATTTGTGCTCTGCATTTAACCCATCCAAGTTTAAACACACAGCAGTAAACACACACACACACACCGTGAACACACACCCGGTGCAGAGGGCAGCCAATGCTGCGGCGCTCGGGGAGCAGTTGGGGGTTCGGTGCCTTGCTCAAGGGTCTCACCTCAGTCATGGTATTGAAGTTGGAGAGAGCGCTGTTTATTCACCCCCCCCACCGACAATTCCTGCCGGACCTGAGACTCGAACCCGCGACCTTCGGGTTACAAGACTCTCTATCCATTAGGCCACGACTGCCCCGCGACTGGGTACTCAACTACACCGTTTGTGTGTAAGGAGCACCAGCTCAGTTCAGGATTTATAAAGGAGGCTCGCAAGCCTACACTTAAGAAAGAGAAGGAGCCTAATTGAGGAGGCCTTGTAGGAGGCCATACATCCAAAGAGGTACCCAGGGCGGGGGGAGGTCCATACAACCCTGAAATGAAAGTAAAGGCACACAGCATGCGTTTCTGGGGTGCAGTTATAATGTCAGGTCCCTTCCATGCTCTGCCTGTAAACTCCGCAAATGGTCCGACTAACCGCGGGCGATAGGCAGAGAATTATCACCACATCCGCAACGTGCAGTATGTATTCAGCTCTCGCGGAAGCTAAACACGCTTTGTTCAAGTGCTAGATTCCCTCGGAAATCAAGTGAGAACAGAAACCGCTGTATGTGTCGCTTTGAGCTTGTTCAAGGTGAACACACTCATGCAAACGCTTAGCTGCTAACATAAACAAATGGCAGTGAAGATGAAGAAGAGGATGATGAATTCTCCTGGCTCCTCTTTTATACTATGGTTGTACCAGCCAATGTTATTCTCATGTTTAGACATGTGCTTCAGACACCAGTCAAACTGAAGGCGTTCCCTGTAGCAACCACTGGTTGATTTATGTGGTTGCCCAGCAGAACTACCAGCTGGTCAGGCCAAAGACAAATTGGGATGCCATTTTGGTCAACCAGATTGGAATTTGTAGCTTGCCTTGGCTAGGCAAGTGGGGAATAGGTTAAGTTGATTAACTATGTTACAAAACTCAGCATTATTTAGGTTTTTGAACCCCCAAAATACCATCTGACAAAAACACTTTGAGCTACTTGACTAGCTCGACCACCTTAAAGTTAGTATGCCTGTTTGTTTTTCCCAAGAGTTATGGAGATATTTATTTAAGAACATAATGTTTTATCATGCTTGGTTATAGAGGCAATAAGGCCTTAAAATTGTGATGTTACCTTTGCTGAATACTGTTCATACAAACAGCTGTTAAAACAGGATATCAGAAAGTTGAAGTTAAGGTCTGTTGAGCTGTTGTAGTAATAGTTAATGTGGGCTTTAGGTAGGTGGCTTTTTACAGGCTTTTATTGATGGAATATGTTATAATTGAGTTGTTTTGTGGAGGTTTTATAGAACATGCTAAGTTTCAAACACATTAAAAAAATCTATTTGTTCAAATTTCTGTTGTAATTATAGGAAGACTTAAAAGCAGTAATTTAAGTTACGTAGACATGCAGACTATGTATCTTTTAGCTTAATATTGAAGTTGATTTAGGAAAGTTAGCCATCTTCTTATGCTTGGTTAATGAACATCTTTGCTTGTTGCTGTCTGCTGCTGTTGACTGTTTGTGTCATTTTCCCTCTGAAAGTTCTTCAAACAATCTGCATTTCTTCATTTACCTATTATGAAGTTAAATTCCAATCTGAAATGTTTTCTCTTATCCTGTTGCTTTTTGACATAACTCTACTGAGATGCTCAAGGTCGGAAATTGCCAGTGGTATATTCCTCCTGCTAACACTCCTTCATATTTACTGTGCAAAGGGGAAGAATCAAAGTGAGAAAGAGAAAGGAAGAGGAAAAATTAAGGACTGCTATTCCTGTTTTTGTCTCTCAGGTGAGTGAGACTGAGGTCAATGGCCAGTTTGAGTCAGTTTGCGAGTCCGTTTTTAGCGAAGTAGAATCCCAGGCCGTGGAGGCCTTGGACCTGCCCGGCTCTTTCCGCACTCGAAGCCACAGTTACCTGCGTGCAATTCAGGCTGGGTATTCCCAAGATGACGACTGCTTGCCTTCAATGACATCCTCTACTGTTACTTCAACTCTCAGATCCACAACAGGTAACCGTATGCCTCAAATCCCACCTGAGAGAGAGAGAGAGAGAGAGAGAGAGAGAGAGAGAGAAGGCTTAGAGCACATACCCGCCATACATCCAGCACATGCTGATTTTGTGGAGGTTTTATAGAACATGCTAAGTTTCAAACACATTAAAAAAAATCTATTTGTTCAAATTTCTGTTGTAATTATAGGAAGACTTAAAAGCAGTAATTTAAGTTACGTAGACATGCAGACTATGTATCTTTTAGCTTAATATTGAAGTTGATTTAGGAAAGTTAGCCATCTTCTTATGCTTGGTTAATGAACATCTTTGCTTGTTGCTGTCTGCTGCTGTTGACTGTTTGTGTCATTTTCCCTCTGAAAGTTCTTCAAACAATCTGCATTTCTTCATTTACCTATTATGAAGTTAAATTCCAATCTGAAATGTTTTCTCTTATCCTGTTGCTTTTTGACATAACTCTACTGAGATGCTCAAGGTCGGAAATTGCCAGTGGTATATTCCTCCTGCTAACACTCCTTCATATTTACTGTGCAAAGGGGAAGAATCAAAGTGAGAAAGAGAAAGGAAGAGGAAAAATTAAGGACTGCTATTCCTGTTTTTGTCTCTCAGGTGAGTGAGACTGAGGTCAATGGCCAGTTTGAGTCAGTTTGCGAGTCCGTTTTTAGCGAAGTAGAATCCCAGGCCGTGGAGGCCTTGGACCTGCCCGGCTCTTTCCGCACTCGAAGCCACAGTTACCTGCGTGCAATTCAGGCTGGGTATTCCCAAGATGACGACTGCTTGCCTTCAATGACATCCTCTACTGTTACTTCAACTCTCAGATCCACAACAGGTAACCGTATGCCTCAAATCCCACCTGAGAGAGAGAGAGAGAGAGAGAGAGAGAGAAGGCTTAGAGCACATACCCGCCATACATTCAGCACATGCTGAACAACATACTCTGGCATACCTACATATGTACAGTGGGATTCCCTTGTGCTTGAGAGATGACTGACTTGAATGTCGTTTCCGTCAGCTCCTGTCTGTTGTGTGTGTTTGCTTTTATGTGTCTGTGCTCCCCGAGTGTTGAAAGACGGTTGCCCGCAATTCCCTTTGCACGAGTCATATGTCTTTTTCTGGGCTTCTGATTGGTTGGGTCCAGTGGTAATGAGAGGCTAGACTGGGGGTCAGAGGGACTTAGGCAGAGACACAACTCAGCATGCTTTTAACTAGCACAGCTGTCCAGAGCATGCAACACACCATAGGCAAGCGTTTTCACACAACACAGAAAGTCAGGTTAAGGTTGGGCAGGAAGGTTGGCTTTAGACGTGTTCACAGTCCTTAATTTTTTTGTGTATTTTCTGTCTTCTATATATTGAAAATTGATTAGTAGTTAAAAAATAAATATGTTGGTTCGGTTTAGTAAACTTTAAAGGCTGTTTCAGTCCTGAATGCACAAAGCAATGACTGTGAACTGCATAAACAATTTTATGTGATATTATGTGTTGCATAAATCATCTACATTAGTGAGTAGAAAGAAATTCACAGTGCTTCAGAAGTGGGGGTCAAAAAGAAAGTTGAATCAAAATATTTGCTTAAAAAAATATTGAAATTAAAGTTTTCATTCTTCAACAAAATGAATCAGAATTAAATTTTAAAAACTAGATGCTAATTTACTGCCAAGTTAAATGCCTAGTGTTCAATGCATAATATTTAGTGAATTTTAGATTCTTTTATTTTAGATTAGTGTATTATATTGTCATTTCTGTATGCTAAACCAACTGCTCCACATGACTAAATCCTTTATTTTATAGAAAATATTAATTTATTTTAGAAAAATAAAATCTTCTCCTTAAAGATGTCATTTAACCACTTAAGGGTTTGGTTTATTATTTTGAATATTATATTGAATTATACAGAATAATAACAGGATATTTTAGTAGTGTATTTTTTACTTTTTGAAAAATGTCATTGTAATTTTGCATGTGAGTAATTCTCCTGTCGCTGAAGTGAAATTTTGGTTGGTTTGTTAATGCAATAATTGAATTATGATTTAATAATCTCTGTATGAATTCAAAAATTGGAGGTGAAAACAAATCCTATTATCCTAATCCAGTTTTAACATTAATCCTAAATAATTAGTAATTTTCACAACCTAAATGAGTTTAGGAAGACCTAACAGAGCAATTGTGGAGGTTTTGTGCAACACATACTCATGAGAATGTGTGCATCACGTGTCACAGTTTCTTTGTGCAAGCAAAATGCCGCCTCCGCACCCTGTCCCAACACCCCTGCTGTGTCTGGTGTACACATGGAGTAAAGCTATGAACCCTATTGAAATGCCACAAATTGATGTCAAATGACACTAAAAATACTTATTTTTTTTCAGTTGTTTACATTTTGAAACCAAAAGGATACTTTCTTTTGTATGATTTGTTTGGTCACTCCAGTCCAACTTTGTTTCTTTCATTTAATGTGGGCTTCTTTGTGTTTGTTATTCAAACTGGAGTGTGATTTGATTGGACCTTCATACTGCCAAAAACTCATACTGACAACACACCGAAGACTCTAAGGAGAAAGGAGAGCTCTCCAATCCCACCGTCTCACTCTGCTGAAGTGCTTTCACCACATATGGCTCTGTATGCAATCCCTGTCAGCTCAAGTCAACCGGCTGTAGGACTAAACCATTTTCTCAAAAGGATCTCCTCCACTCTGTTTCACTCTGAAGGACTTCTTGTTTCAGCAGTCCTGTACTACTTTGGATTTACAAAAAGAACCATACTTTGCGTATGTGTAGAAGCTAAATTAGGTGGTTTCTTCCCTTAAAAACTTACAAGAAAGTTCAAATATTTACTTGAGCTCTGGTATCAATGCTCTCTGGTTCTGTAGTTAATTCAAAAGCACTGACCAATCAGAGTAATATTATCAAGCATATCCTATAGATGAAGCTAAATTTAGTTGCTGCTAAAATCATTGGGAAATATTGAGTAAGGTGTTGGGTGTTCTGTGATGGTGGAGAGGGAGGGTGGGCGGCATGGCCCCTCATTGGCCATCACAGGAAAGAGATCCAGGGGAAAAGAGCAGCTGGAGAGATGCCTGTCACAGGTATTATAATGTCAACACATCTTTCAATGGATATGTGTGTTTTTGCACTGCCTTCTCAATTAAATCAGGACTAATCCTTTGAAAGACACATCACTGAAGGTCAGATTAGGGACAACCAGTGTTCAGTTGCCAAATTAGCAATGCTTTTCCATGAAGGGCATTTCAAAAGATTTATTTTATTGCAGGATTAAATGTTGTTTATTACCACAGAAAATAATTTTGATTATATAACAAAAAATGTATTTACAGTAAGATGTGCACTTACAGTGAAAGCCTATGGGGTGAGACATGCTGGAGGGTTTAGAAGTACAGTTGTGAAGAACGTAATTTTTTAAGCGATACTATCACACTAGTCTCATGTTCACACGTGTAATGTTTAAGTCTTATTTTGATATTTTTGCAATACATTGTATTTTACTGGTGCAATGCCTTGCCCCATAGAAATCCATTGAAAGAGCATTACTGTACTTGTAAATGCATTTTTTTTGTTTGTTTTTACAAACTGATGGATGAGTTTAAATTTTGTGGTAATCGACATCATGTCACAGATGCTGTCACTACAGCATAAATTTAACCCAGAACATTAAATATTCAAATGAAAATGATCAAATGCAAATGATCGAATGGTAAAGCAATTCTTATTCATTTTTATTTCATGCTTCTTTCTTTTTGTTGTTAAAAATGTTTGGGTCACTTTTAAAATTTCTCTTTATTTTAACACCAACCTTGGAACCCTTGGAGGACAAACGTGGCCAGCTAAATGCGGTTGGAAGTAAGAGCTGGTGTGGAAGATTTCAGCTGTGATGGACAGTGGGATTGCAGCCTCTGCCTGGTGCAGCCCTCATAAAGGACTTTATTGGATCGTGTTTCTTCTTAATCCCGCCCCTATAATCTCCACATGGTCCAATCAGCTTGATAGTTGGGCTTTTCAACATATTCAATAGGGTTCATATCTCCTTGCCTGAATGATTGTGTGACATTTTACTGCCTTTTCATCTTTTCTGTTGCACAAAAACAAGACAATCCTTAAAATTAGACTCCACATTTCCCACAATGCTCTGTGATTTGATAAATGGATAAACGGTGGTTACTAGTATTGAGATTTTTTTATTGGCTATGCTGTGAAGAGATGGAAAGGCTGAATAGATGAGATGCTCTTTGATGTGAGTGAGAAGGCAGTGTAAACACACATCTGAAAGCTAAATGTATGTGAGTAAAAGAAAGTGACCCTGACAACACAATGTTGAATGAATTTCATTCAGTACATTTTTAACATGAACACTTTCATTAAACGAGTGGCATACTGATGAATACTTGTATCAGTTTTTTGGGGGGATATAAATAGATATAAATAGTATTTACCTGCAGCACAAAGTCATTCATAATGTATACATGCAATAAAGATCTGCTTTGTAGTTGACAAATGATACCTACAATTGATTATAGGTAAATATTCACCTCATCCAGCTTTATAAAATATCCTGTTACCATTTTTATGTGAGGAACCACTGCAAATAATTCAAGCCCTGGCTCATTGAAAATATGTGCTTGTGGCAACGTTTCTGCAGCACCCAATATTATGTACCTCATTGCATATTTTGCATTAGTTTCAAAGTAAAATGTCCAGTGAGTGGTGCTAAAATGCACATTCAACAGGTGACCGTGGCCACTTTTAATATGTTGGTACAGGCACATATTGCAGTGTTTTTATTATGCTACTTCAAACACTTATTGGTTCACAATTCAAATGTCTGGGGTGTGTCGCTAAAAGGCTAATGCTCTATCCTGTTGGAAAATAACATGCTCCTTACACCACACCCAACCCTAAATCTACCAGATAATGTTAACGGATGCAAAAATAATATAAAACGCATTCACTGATGCAGCTGTGCTATTTTAACTTCCTTCTACATGGGTTTGAGCTGTTTTGTCAAACCAACACAGTATTTCCAATGAGCCTGGGTAGAATGATTCGGTGCATGAGTGAAGAGTCCGAATCGCGAACATTTTTAGACCTTTTTGCAAACCTGAATAGATTACCAAATCTGGCATCACAAGTTCTGATTCTAAACAGCTGATCTAAAACACAGAACTTGACTGCTGAAATATTAACAGCGAAAATTATTTTCAGGTTGATGTACGGCAATCCTGTGTACATATAATTATTTATTAGTAATATTTTGCTGGGCCATACTGGAGGGGTATTTGACTTGGATAATGTTAACGGATGCAAAAATAATATAAAACGCATTCACTGATGCAGCTGTGCTATTTTAACTTCCTTCTACATGGGTTTGAGCTGTTTTGTCAAACCAACACAGTATTTCCAATGAGCCTGGGTAGAATGATTCGGTGCATGAGTGAAGAGTCCGAATCGCGAACATTTTTAGACCTTTTTGCAAACCTGAATAGATTACCAAATCTGGCATCACAAGTTCTGATTCTAAACAGCTGATCTAAAACACAGAACTTGACTGCTGAAATATTAACAGTGAAAATTATTTTCAGGTTGATATACGGCAATCCTGTGTACATATAATTATTTATTAGTAATATTTTGCTGGGCCATACTGGAGGGGTATTTGACTTAGGCTCGTGACTCAGTAAAAAGAGTCTAGCTACACCCCTGCATTAAACCTAGTTGGAAACTAGTTGCTTGCGAGCCTGCAATTTAACATTAGCAGCAGAATGGACTTGCTTCCCCACTGCTGCTTCTGATGAAATCAATCTAATGTTTTGTCTTGTTCTTCAGTCTCTCTTCATAAACTGTCAGAAGTTCAAAAATTGTACCTTCTCGGGTACCACAGCTTGTCACTAGAGCAGTACCCTCAAAGGGACACCTTTGTACCTTCTTTACCCCTAAAGGGTTTATGTTAGTACCTTAAAGTAGTAATATGTACTCTTATGGTACTATCATGAAACATTGAGGGGTAAAGAATGTACAAAGTACTTTGAGGGTACTGCCCCAGTGACAAGCTGTTGTACCCCTAAAGGTACAATTTTGGCACTTTTTTTTCTGGGAATGTACTTGATACATGTGAATTTTCTCCCAGGAACCGATGTAGTACGCAAACTTGTGAAAATTGTGTGTACAGGGCCTTTACTCACATACTGCTACTACACGACACAAGTGTTGACGTTAGATAAAGTGAGAGGCTTCACTGAATTCCACAGCTGTTCATCCCTTTGAATATCCCTATTTCCATATTCAAATTTGTCTTCCAGAGGGGTATGATGCAATGGAGGGCACCTCATTGCTAAATGAGGATATAATTGATGACGATGATGGCGCCAGCTCCTCGGCTTATCAAGAAATTGAGCGGTTTGAAAGAGAAAATGCTGCGCGTAGTCAACACAGCACCAGTTCCACGGTCACGGCTGTCTCCATTCCTCCTACCTCCACACATGCCTACCAAGTCCCGTGTCCGCCCCCATCCCAGCCCCCACCGGATCCTCCCGTCCCGCAGGCTATTCAGGCTTTCAAGGAGTCCGCAAACATGGTGGCCGCCTTCAACATGCAGTGGAAGGAGGAGATTTCGGCAATGCGCTATGAGCTAGCGGAGCTGCGCAGGGACGTCTGCGGAGAGCTCAAGACTTTTAACAGCAACTTCTTTAATTTCACGCAGTGCTACAACATGTGGACAATGTGCCGGGAGGCTGCCACTGGCACCAATTCCAGCACCAGCGAAAGGGTGTCCGTTGGCGTCCAGACTGGCGCTAACGGCCTGGTGAGACAAAACACTGCAGACGCCTCAGTAATGTGCCAGCCCGAACCGGCTGCCTTCAACATTTTCGACTTGATGGAGCCTCCACGCATCAAGATCACAGAGGGAACTCCTGAAGGAACCACGGCCACCAACAGCCCAACCAGTCCTACCAGTCCAGGTAGAGCCACCACTGGCCCATCGCTGTCCAAGCCATTGGGAAGGTCCAAATTGGACACTGGCAAGAAGAAGAAGAGCTGCAGTCGAGCGGACGGTCAAAGAAGTGCCAGCCTTGAACTCTGGTGCAGAAAGTACACTAGTGGACCAATGTCCTACTTATCTCTATCCTTCTGATCATTCTTGTCATTGGAACACTGACTTCGTTTCTGAATCAACACTATACACATTTATCCAGAGAAGAGCTTGTCTCTTTTCTCTTGGCAAAGATGATACCTTGGCTCAAATGCCGACAGGAGAAGGTGCCGTTTTGGCATAACAGGGATAAGTGTAGCTATTCTAGAGGGAACCATTTGCTGTGCCAGATCATAAAATCTGTTTACATCACCACGGAGATGAATCATGAATGTCATTCGCATTGTAAGGAATGTCGCAATTTGTCTGACTGTCACTGTCATTGTTTTTTTGTTTTCATGGCTAAAAGCAGTTTTTGTGTGACAGTGGTGAATGATCGCAGCACTCAATTTGACCAAAAGAGGATATGAATGCAGCTGGAAGATGGCTTATACATTTAACGCTTATCAAATAAAGCGAAATGCATTCAAATTTGGCAAATTCCTTGAATATATTTCTTTGCATTGTTTTTAAGTTAGTTATTTTATTTGTTGTAGACTTGGGTGAAAATAGGGAATGCCATTAATTTTAGTGACAAAATCAAAGAGTCAAATCAAGGTTTTCAGTCATGAGGTCAGTTTGTAGGCCACCACGAAAGGCTAATTTGACATGATATCCCACTGAAATATTGAATGGATTTTTATACATTTCAAATTTAGGTTTATTTATGAGTATAATAAGTGGTTAAGATTAGCATTAAATGTTGTGCTACAACATAAATGATCAGATTTGAAATAATTGTGTGCTTGCTATCAAGTTGCTACTTAAGAACTACAACTACCACAATGATGCGAGTGTACATGCTATTTTAACTACATTTCAACTACTATGTACTAACATTTGAATTTAACATTTTATACAATGCACTTATTTTGTGCATACATGTTTTTATATTGAAAAAACCTGCTTGTAATTACATATGTAATTACACTGATGACCAGACTCCTAGCCAAGAGCAGCAAAAGTGTTTTGCATGAATACAATAAGTGCACTGTAGAAAAAAAGGTGCAAAAATTTTAATTTTAAGAGTACAACAGCTTGTCACTGGGGCAGTACCCTCAATGAGACACCTCTGTACCTTCTTTACCCCTAAATGGTTATAATAGTACCCTAACATGCACTTTTTTTTCTGACAGTGTTCCATTTATGTCCTTATGTAGCAACTTTTTAAAGTTTTAAAATTCACATTTGAACCATGACTCTGTAATTTATGTTGTAGAACAACATATTTTATGACAAAATTTGCCATTTCATTGGTCTACTAACTGAACCGCTCTAAAGCTGTCACACAACGCTTTTGCTTTTCATGCCAAGTGAACATGATGGTCCATGCACAGCAATCATGTTGAGCTTTTTGGTCTCAGTTTCCCAGGAGTGTCACATATAGATGGATTTAAACAAGTCACTAAATTCAAATGTTATTTTAACTCAAGCAGAAGCCCTTACCATATTTATTGTAACTCTACATCTGCAGTGTGTCATTACTAGCCAATATAGTATACAGAAAGCATCTGTGGACTATTTATAAAGTAGTGCTGAGTGGTACATCTTTTTATTATTGTTATACTTTAATCAAGAATGGAAAGAGATGCAATTTATTTGACTGAACAATTCAAAGATGGGTATCTCCCTCAATGTCAGATTTCTCAATAGCTGCTTTTTTGACCTCTACCCTCAATACTAAAAATATAGTTACAGCTGTGCAAAGTATAAGTAGTTAACCATTACAGACAGTCTAGAAATATGATGTCCCTTTCATAAATATGATATGTATATATGTGGCATATATTTGCTGACATATATTGCATCAGTAATAAGTCATGGAGACCCACATAACTCACAATGCATATGACCCTGCCACATTATCCCCCGCTCAATAAATACACATTTTGTATCCTGAATACACTAAAAATAACTAAAACTTGCTTTTATGAGAAGCAGCCTACATGAAAATGTACAGTTCTCAATTGCAATACCGATAAGTCCTAATTACAATTATTGACTAATTTTATATAATTTGATTTCATGTTAAATAGCAAACCAGGTAATGGCATTTTAAGAATTGCCTTGTTAGGTGCTTTTCTGAAACTGAATTTAGTTTTGAATTCTATTGCATTTATATTATTTTGTATTAATTAATGCACTACAACATATCTTTCATGATTACATGAACAGCCTTCTTGTAGACTGGAAGTACAATCATTTTATTTCAATCAGTGCTTACTATTAAAGCATTTGCATAATTCTGCTGCTCCTCCGCACTCTGTTAATAAAATATAGTGTACAATGTATATAATAAAAATCATATTTATTAATATTAATTTCCCAACGATTGTTGCATTTAGGAATTTGTTTAACAGTTGCAATCTTCAGAAGAATATATACTTATTTTCAATAACTCACAATGAATTGCAGAAATGAAAATGACTATCGCTCAGCACTACTATAGTTTTCTACTTTTTACGTAGCCTCACAATATGATTGCTCCTGTAATTGTGACCTTGACCCCCCCCCCCCACACACACACACACACACACTTCATTTATTTATTTTTTTAATCAAGAATATAAAATTCAAAACAGATACTGAATTTCCCTTTCCCGTTATTTTATTTAGTTAGTTAATTTTATTAATTTCATTATTTGGGATTTGTCCTAATCACCTAATCCAATGCCCTGGATAGTGATTCCTTTAAACATTTTCCATTTCAAGTCACTTTTTCATAATTTAAAGGACCTTCTGAATTTGTCTCCACAGGACACACACAGCATGTGGAACCAGTTATGTACAAAATGTACATGCACAAAAAGTTGTAAATCGAATCATGTAATTCATTTTATTTATTTATTCAAGGGTTTGTTTTCAGGACATTCAATCTTCATGTGCCACTATAATAAAAAATAAATGAGACACTGTGACACTTATGAAAAACTTGCATTTATCCTCCATTTATAAATGTAGTTAGCATAGAAAAATAGGTATTATGTTAAAAAATATAAGAAATACATTCCTTGTATTTTTATGTACTAGGGTTAACTAGTTTATTTAGAACAGAGGCTATATAAAACTATTTTGTTTACTGAAAATAACTATCATCATGCCAAAGTTTAAGGCAATATTTGTCTGCAAAAAATTAAGTATATTTTAAGCCACTGCAGAAAAAAAGGAATAAGAGGAATAAAAATCGCTGCTGAACTAGTGTGATTTTAAGAAAAGTTGGTCGAAGGTTTCTTCCATTTGTTGTTGCAGGATCACTAATGGTTGTTCTTAGAGTATGTTACACCATAATGTCAGTACAGATATTAAAGTTTTGGCATGTTCCTACTGAGTTGTAACAAAAGTTTTCATTCTAAAAGGTAATTTCATAAGTATAGAAGAAATATAAGAAAATGCGTCACTCATATCTTCATTTACCTTGAATAAATGATGAAAATCACTATTTTTGTTCATTTTATTTTATAGTCAGATTTGTCAATTTTACAGTCAATTTCTCTGTGCATGAGCATTTCTAACTTTAGTTGAAAACAGTTATCCAATGAAACCATCTTAAATCCATTAGCTCTAGCCTAGCCAATTTGTTTTGGCTTTAAAGACACTGTCAAATGCCCATGCTCCTTTGCAATGCACAGAGTGGCAGGTTTGAATGTACTGACACCGTCATCACTAGTGATGTCATTTCTAGGCTTTTTTTTTTAACTCATCAGTCCGTGGGTGGGATCTTGCTGATGTGTGTCCTGTTGCACATGGGAGATACTGATTTATAGAGTTTAACTGATCTAACAGGTGGCATTATTAGAGAGTATGAGATGATAGCCTTGAAATCTTAAAATTATTTTATCAATGATTTTTATTTCTACAATAATAGGATAGTTCACTCAAACCTGAAAAGTAGGGATGCACCGATACCGATACTGAACTCCACAGTACTGAGCCGCTGCAATGGAGCAGCTCTAATGCTATTAAATTAAAGATGATGTACCATAGAACAAAAAATTAACAGTGAAAGTAACAAAAACTTGTAAAATACATTGAATGGGCATAATTAAGTGTGAAACCAGTAAAATGTATACAAATTTGGGACCAACAATTATTCAGACCGAATCTACAATAAACATACCTTTCTATCAAAGTTATCTAACATTATCAAGCTGAATTTTTTCTGACTCAGTTTAACTCTGAGTTCTCGTTACATTTTATTACCATTTTCTAAACTATAGCGAATAAACTGTGATAATGTGAGAAATGTTGAAGGTGTCTGAATACATTTTGGCTTGACTGCATCTATTTGATAAATGAAGTTAACCAACTAACATTATACATACCCTTTTGGTTTCTGTACCCAATATTTAAAAAATGTACAAATGCTATAAAATATTGGTATAGGTACTCGGTATCGGCAAGTACCAAAAATAAAAGTATCGGTATCGGGCGAGTACTGGAAAAAATGGTATCGGTGCATCCCTACTGAAAAGGTTGTCATTTACTCAACCTTATGTTGTCCCAAACTTGCATGGCTGTTGTGGAGAGAAAAAGAGGATATTTTTAAAGATTAACTATTTTGTCCTTATAATCAAAATCAGATCCAAAACAACATTGACCCTATTAGCGTTCAATGTATGGACATTTTTTTTAAATATCTTCTTTTGTGAAGAAAAATGTAGGAATGACATGAGGCTAAGCAAATGAATTTTCATTTTTGGGTGAACTATCCTTTAAAGTGGTGAAGGTATGTTGTTTGCCTCTTTTTATTCTGTCAGAAATAAGAGAATCACATTGAAAAACAGTGACAGAGAATGTCTGGTGGAAAAAAAATGTATGGATTTTTATAAATTAATAGAATATTCTGTTGTTATATTCTAAATGTCCGTAGTTTGAAAATCTATGATATGTTATTCCATGATGAGCTTTATCCAAGGAAGGGGTTTTAGCCATAAGAAAACATTAACAGCTAAAAGGGAACCCTATAATGTTAAAGAAATTATATGATGCATTATTATTTTATT